TATAACTCACCACCCCCAATGGTGTATTTCCGAACAGTGTATGGTGTTTTTACTCACACCTAATGGTGTGTGTTTGGTGATGCAGGGCTCTGTTTACTCTGTTTTGTGTGGTGTATTTCCTAAAGTTGATGGTGCATATTTGGTGAACTATTGGTGTTGCCGCACCGTAAGAAATAACCGCACCGTAAGACACTGCCGCACCTGAACCTGCCTATATATATATATATATATATATATATATATATATATATATACTTTTAATCAGTTAGTCAATTCATAAACTTATACTTTGTTACATGGCACGATAGTGACCTTATGCTGCTGCTGCTGCTACTACTACTACTACTACTACTACTACTACTACTACTACTACTACTACTACTACTACTACTACTACTACTACTACTACTACTACTACTACTACTACTACTACTACTACTACTACTACTACTACTACTACTACTACTACTACTACTACTACTACTACTACTACTACTACTACTACTACTACTACTATACTACTACTACTACTACTACTACTACTACTACTACTACTACTACTACTACTACTACTACTACTACTACTACTACTACTACTACTACTACTACTACTACTACTACTACTACTACTACTACTACTACTACTACTACTACTACTACTACTACTATACTACTACTACTACTACTACTACTACTACTACTACTACTACTACTACTACTATACTACTACTACTACTACTACTACTACTACTACTACTACTACTACTACTACTACTACTACTACTACTACTACTACTACTACTACTACTACTACTACTACTACTACTACTACTACTACTACTACTACTACTACTATACTACTACTACTACTACTACTACTATACTACTACTACTACTACTACTACTACTACTACTACTACTACTACTACTACTACTACTACTACTACTACTACTACTACTACTACTATACTACTACTACTACTACTACTACTACTACTACTACTACTATACTACTACTACTACTACTACTACTACTACTACTACTACTATACTACTATACTACTACTACTACTACTACTACTACTACTACTACTACTACTAATAATACTACTACTAATAATACTACTACTAATAATACTAATAATAATAATAATAATAATAATAATTTCATTTTTGGTCCTACTGTTATATGGGTCATTCCAATTTTAGTCCACCATAATTATTTTTGTCACATTGCGTCCACTATTATTAAAAGTGTTCTAATTTTAGTCCATGAAAAATCTTAAAATTGATTAAAATTGGAACACTTTTAATAATAGTGGATATAATGTGACAAAAATAATTATATTGGTGGACTAAAATTAGAAAAATCTTATAACAGTAGAACCAAAAATGAAATTCAATAATAATGATGATGATGCCTTGAAACCACAAGATAGTTGTCATCACTCAAGGCACTCTCAACACTTTGTACCCTAGATTTTGGTAGAGGAGAACCAAACCCTTTTTAACTAGATCAGAGGTTATTGGTTGCTATGAATCTTATTCATACTATCAAAAACATATACTCTTTTTGTTCATTTTATGTGTCATGTTGGTGAATGAGACTTGATTAAAGTTATTTACAATTTAATTTTTCATAATATTAAATTTAGAATTAGTATATAAAATTGATATATTTAGAAACTACATTAAAAGTATTATTAAATACAAAAAAATCAAATTTAAAAATTTTAATAAAATGCTAAAAATTTATCTGAATTTTATGTTGCTGGGCAAGTGGTGAGCGGTGTGTGGAGCTGTATTTGGAAACTGAAAATACCACCAAAGGTCCATAACTTCTTATGGCGTTGCCTTCATAATGTCATCCCTACGCTTGTTGCACTTCAAAGCCGGAGAGTAGAAGTTGATGCTGCTTGTCCTTTATGCCAGCAGGAGCCTGAAACCTTGAATCATCTGATGTGTGGCTGTGAGAAGGTGAGTCCTTTGTGGCATGATCTGCTTCATCAACCCCTCCCTCATAATGATGATTTCTGTGTGTGGTTGACTGGGATGGGATTTTGATATCCAATGATATAGAGAAGAAAGTGTTGGTTGCTGCAGTCTGTTGGTGCATATGGATGGGGAGAAATGCGTTGGTTTGGAATGCTAAGCAGTGGCAGTGTTCTTATATCAAGATGGAAGTAACACGGCTTGTGAATGAATGGAGTGAGCTGCATTTGTCTTTGCCGAATGGAGAAGCTGCACCACATGTTTTGAATATTCCTAATTTAGGGGATGTTTTTAGAGTTTTTGTTGATGCTACTGTTCATGATGGGGGTGGTCAGGCTTTCTATGGTTGTGTTGTTTTTGATAACAATGGAAATTACGTGGGAGCAAAAAATGGCAGCATACGTTGCTTAAATGATGTCCACTTCGCAGAGGCAGTGGCCGTTAAAGAGGCTTTGTCATGGGTTAAAGAACTAGGCTACATGAAGGTTGCGATTCTTTCGGACTGTCTGATGGTTTGTACACTCCTGAATAGCTCTGGAACTGATTTGTCATATGCAGGTTGTGCTATTGATGCATGTAAGGAGTTTCGTAGACACTTTGAAGTAGTGTCCTTTAATTATATTTCTAGATCAGTTAATAAGTGTGCTCACGCTGTAGCACGAGCATCTTATTCCCAAACTGGTCCGTCTGTTTGGATTTCATCTTTACCCGCTTGTATTCAACATTTAATTTAATAAAGTTCTTTCTTCCTTCAAAAAAAAAAATGCTAATAGAAATAAGTAAAGAAGAAAGTGTTGGTTTGACCAATGAATAGTAAGTTAGACATATAAAATAGGACAAAGGAAGTATAAATTAGAAATCAAAATAAATGATGGGACCAAAATAACTCAGCAAATTATGGTGTGGACCCAGGTCCATTTTTGTAAGGTGGATCCGAATTATATTCACAAATTTTGAATTTTATATTCACAATTTTTTTATCTCAATATACAAAACTACAGAACTCAATATTAACAATCGCACAACTCTATATTCATAGGCGGATCTACAATGGGTTAACTGCCCCCTCACCCCTTCCTACCCCTTTAATATATATGTACATGTACAAATCACTAAGAAATTTAGTAGCTTAGTTGGCTAAAAATTGGGCATGACATGAAATGTTATGGTTTCAAATCCCACGTTTAGCACTTTGTATATTTTAGCTCTTCTTACCCTTCAATAAATAAAATATATATTTTTTTAATTCTACTTTTTGTGTGTGTATATTTTAGCTTCTTTTCTTTATTTTAGCTCTTCTCTCCCTTTAATAAATAAAAACATTTTTAAGTCTACTTTTTTTGTGATTCATTTAGTTAATGTAGTCCACAAGTTTATATTATATTTCATCTTATTCAAATTAATTTAGAAAAATTTTAAATTGAAATTATTTTGATAGTATGAATAAGAATACAAAACCAATAACCACTGATCTAGTTAAAATGAGTACGTTTGGTTCTCCTTTACCAAAAATTCAAAATTTAGGGCACATAACAAGTGTTGAGAGTGATATCAAGCATCTTGTGGTTTGAAGCCATTATTATTATTCACAAATTAAAGAAAGTTGATGTATGAGTTTATTACTTTTTGATATGCATTTATATTTCTATTTCTATATGAATTTGAAATGATGTAGAATTGTATGCTACCAAATTGTGTTTCATCTAAATCTTTTTTTTTTTGAAAACAAGAGCGAAATAACATTAAATAAGATCCAAGCTCAAAACGTGATCACTGGAGGGAAATGGAACAGAAGAACAGTACATACAGTCAGACATAGACAAGGCTTCCCTAGCTAAACAATGGACAACCTTGTTCGCAAACCGTTTAGCAAACAAAAAACTTAAGTTAGTGAAACTAGAAGCTATGAATTTAAAATAGAGCTCAAATGATGTCCTCTTCAATATTTTCCCAATAAAAGAAAACGCGCCATTGAGATATATGTTATACATTGCACATGAAACACTAGCTGAAAAGATATTCTTTTTCTCAATTTGGTCATTGTTAGTTATTTTTCTGGAGTCCTATAGAAAATATCATTATTTGGGAATATATATTCCATTTAAACATTAAAAATTATACAGTAGTTTATATTTTGTATGGTGTATTCTAGGAATGCAATTTTCCTCACGCAACTCCTTTCCAGTGGTCAAAATACATGATCGCAAGGGAGAGAGTGGTGGAAATTAAAGAGTTTATAATGTGGAAAAGACTTTGCAGCATGGGAGAAACCAACACGAATGAAGCTGGAAATCAATCATTAATTTCTCATCAATCTAATACAGTGCTAAGGCATAAGTCTTGTTTGCAATAATATAATGTTGCATCTGATCTGATATTACAGTACACAACTACAAAATAAGGACTAAATTTTCACGCATCCTATTAAGTGGGACGACCAATGCATGGTGCTCACAAAGAACTCATCATATATACTTAATAGTCTTTGTGGGGACGATTCTTGAAATTGAATAACACGGGTTCGATTATCACAAGTGATATATGGTTTCCTAGCCCCATACTCTACTACTTGACACAAGACCAGGAACATGTTCATACTTGCAGACCCCAAGATGACTTGTTTCTTATCTTTTGATCCTAAACATAGGAAAAATCACGGAGATACAATATTTTAATTCATATAAAGTGTGAAAGCTTCTAATTTTTCAATATTTATATTTTCTTGTCTTTTGCAGATTAGAGATATATATCCATTGAATTCATTTACCGTGTGTATTCGTCATTTTGCCAACTGCCCATAATCTTAATTGAGTGGATTCAACGTAACGGAATCAAATTGTATGATTGGATTAATAATGGGAAAACCCAACCAATTCCTAGCAGGAAATTGTTCATTAATATTATTGGGAAAAAAAAAAAACAAGAACTGCGGCCTCTAAAGTCTAAACCCAAAAAGGCTCATCTCCAGAAGGGTGTGAACTGAAACTTTTCTGATGCAGCACTAGTCTGAGTGTCTATCCAAAGTGTAAACTTCCCGGCTATATAACACCCCTAATCTCACTGCTTCTCCTCATCTGGGTTCGAATCAATAATCCACAAAAATGAATCTTTTTCAATTTCTTTCTTGCTTCTGTCTTGCCTGCATTTTTGTTCCTGCAATTGGCTCTACTCTGTTATTCCAGGTATCATCCCGGCCAGAATATATATATTATATTATCTGTATTGTATGCACGGTTTTGACTGATTTGATGTTGTTTGGTTTAGGGGTTCAACTGGGAATCAAACAAGCAGCAAGGTGGTTGGTACAACTCGCTCATCAATTCGATCCCGGATTTGGCTAATGCTGGGATAACTCATGTTTGGTTGCCACCACCCTCCCACTCTGTTGCTCCCCAAGGTGCTGTATTTTTCTTGTTTCATTTTTTTTATAAAGAAAATTGAATTTTTGGCCATTCAGTTATATTCATGCGTGACCACTTTAACTCTTTAAGTTATGTATAGAGTAACGATTTTAGTCTATGAAAGATCAAATCAATTACTTTATTAAATGATCAAAATTATAAATTTTCATCTTTTTTAAATAATCAGAAAAATTCAATAACAACTACTGATTGTGTGCGCAAGTGTAAAAGACTTGTGATCCTAACCTGAGTTGAAGTTAGAGACTTGTACCTAGTCAATATGGCTAGATTTTAACATTTTTTGCGGTCAGGGTATATGCCTGGAAGGCTGTATGATTTGGATGCATCCAAGTATGGAAATAAGCAACAATTGCAGGCACTGGTGGCGGCGCTTCACGACAAAGGGATAAAGGCGGTGGCCGACATAGTGATAAACCACAGATGTGCTGACTACAAAGACAGTAGGGGGATTTACTGCATCTTCGAAGGTGGCACGCCGGATGATCGCCTCGACTGGGGTCCGGGCCTCATCTGCAAAGACGACACGCAATACTCCGACGGCACTGGCAATGCCGACACCGGTATGGACTTCGGCGGCGCCCCCGATATCGACCATCTTAACCCCAGGGTACAGAAGGAGTTATCGGAGTGGATGAATTGGCTCAAGTCTAAGATTGGGTTTGACGGTTGGAGATTCGACTTTGTCAGGGGATATGCAGCTAGCATTACCAAGATTTACATGGAGAGTACTTCGCCGGAGTTCGCCGTCGGAGAGTTCTGGAATTCCATGGCTTATGGTTCGGACGGAAAACCGGATTACAACCAGGATAATCACAGGAATGAGTTATCTCAGTGGGTGCAAAATGGTGGCGGCGCTGTTACTGCATTTGATTTTACGACCAAAGGAATTCTTCAGGCTGCTGTGCTAGATGAGCTCTGGAGATTGAAGGATCCCAAGGGAAAGCCTCCGGGATTGATCGGAATATCACCAAAAAATGCCGTCACTTTTATAGATAACCATGACACCGGTTCAACGCAAAGCATGTGGCCTTTTCCCAAGGATAAAGTTATTCAGGGTTATGCTTACATCCTCACCCACCCCGGAGTGCCATGTGTGGTAATTTTTTTTACTTTTACTAATTTTTATGTTAGTCTCTCTATCTTATCTCTATTTTGTTCAATACTTGTCAAGTCTAGTAAAAGATTACAAGATTGTTAGCTTATTTCTCGTTCTTTGTTTGGCAGTTTTATGATCATTTCTTTGATTGGGGACTGAAGGATGAGATTTCAAAATTGACCTCAATCAGGAGTAGAAATGGGATTAGTGAAACAAGCAATGTGGAGATTTTAGCTGCAGATGCAGATGCTTATGTTGCAAAGATTGATGACAAAGTTATAATGAAGATTGGGTCAAAGTACGATGTTGGAAACCTCATTCCACCTAATTTCAATTTGGTAACATCTGGACAAGACTATGCTGTGTGGGAGAAAAAGATATAAATTTAACTTCATGGATCATAATCAACTCAAATAAATATGCATCAATGTAGCCTTTTAATTAATGTCCATAGTACAAAAATATGATCTATCACATTTGAAGCAAATCTATTGGAATAGATCATACATAATACAAATATGATTTTTGTATTAAAAATTGATGAGTTGGATTCTTAAACTTTGTAAAATGTGAGGATTGAGGAACAACTGACTCTGAAATTGATTATGTACCTACTAGGTTATGTTCTTAAAATAGAGCTCAAATTATGTCCTCTTCAATATTTTCCCAATAAAAGAAAACTCGTCATTGAGATATTTTGTTATACATTGCACATGAAACACTAGCTATTATTAGGGTTCTTTTTCTCAATTTGGTATTTTTAATTATTTTTCTGGAGTCCTATAGAAAATATCATTATTTGGGAATATATATTCCATTTAAATATTAAAAATTATACAGTAGTTTATATTTTGTATGGTGTATTCTAGGAATGCAATTTTCCTCACGCAACTCCTTTCCAGTGGTCAAAATACATGATCGCAAGGCATAAGTCTTGTTTGCAATAACATAATGTTGCATCTGATCTGATATTACAGTACACAACTAAAAATAAAGGCTAAATTTCCACACTCCGTATTAAGCAATCGTTATGCCATGGAACCGTGTTCACAACGGTGTTAGTACAACGTTATCTTCTTCTTCTTTTTTTTTTTTCTTAATTAATTGCGTGACTTTTCTTCTTCATTTTCACATTTCGCGTTTTCACTTTAATTTGAGGTGAGCAATGATTTCGGACATTCATAAATTATGAATTCATGCCTGCACATTCACTTTGGAACCATGCCTACGCATTCCCGTCCGAAATCACGGACATTCATAAATTATGAATCCATGCCTGCAAATTCACTTTGGAACCATGAGATTATGAATTTTCAGTTATGAGATTATGAATTTTCAGTTATGAGATTATGAATTTTCTGTTATGAAATTATGAATTTTCTGTTATGAGATTATGAATCTACATTACATTCATAATCTCATAACAGAAAATTCATAATCTCATAATTGAAAATTCATAATTTAATAAATATTTTACTTTTATGCGATTATGAATTTTCTGTTATGAGATTATGAATTTTCATTACATTCATAATCTCATAATAGAAAATTCATAATTTGATCAAACGCGCGCCGTTAACTCCACATCCGAGATTTTTTTTTTTTTTTTTTTTTTTTTTACGTAAAAACGACGTCGTTTGGACTTGTGTTCACCATTCACGGTGAACACGTTTCCAGAGCATAATTTGCGCCGTATTAAGTGAGAGGACCAATGCATGGTGCTCACAAAGAACTCATCATATATACCTAATAGTCTTTGTGGGGACGATCCTTGGAATTGAATAACAGGGGTTCGAATATCATAAGTGACAATTTCCTTTGGGTTAGCTTCCATGTATGTCTTTCAGAGAGAACGAGAATTAGTCCATTAGACGGATAGAGATAGACCTAGAACACCTCATTTTTACACAAAAAATATACTTAACAGTCTTGAAAGAATTAAAAGATGGTCGTCAAATGGATGAAGAAGTGTTTTAATTTGTATCTAAATACTATGAGTTCAATTTTTGATCGAATTTATCTCAAAACACTACAGGAGCGACTCAGTCCATGCCACTCCTTTTTTTCCAACCAAACCAGTTAATCATATGGTTTCCTAGCCCCATACTCTACTACTTGACACAAAACCAGGAACATGTTCATACTTGCAGACCCCAATTAAGATGACTTGTTTGGTTCTAATTTTTCAATATTTAGAAACAAGTCATTTTGTAAACAACTCAGTCCATACAAATTAAGTCATATAAAGTGTGAAAGCTTCTAATTTTACAATATTTATATTTTCTTGTCTTTTGCAGATTAGAGATAACCCATTGAATTCATTTACCGTATGTATTCGTCATTTTGCCAACTGCCCATAATCTTAATTGAGTGGATTCAACCTTTTTTGGAAAGAATTGAGTGGATTCAACGTAACGGAATCAAATTGTATGATTGGATTAACAATGGGAAAACCCAACCAATTCCTAGAAGGAAATTGTTCATTAATATTGGGGGAAAAAAAAAAAAAAACAAGAACTGCAGCCTCTAAAGTCTAAACCCAAAAAGGCTCATCTCCAGAAGGGTGTGTGAACTGAAACTTTTATGATGCAGAACTAGTCTGAGTGTCTATCCAAAGTGGAAACTTCCCGGCTATATAACACCCCTAATCTTACTGCTTCTCCTCATCTGTGTTCGAACCAATAATCCACAAAAATGAATCTTTTTCAATGTCTTTCTTGCTTCTGTCTTGCTTGCATTTTTGTTCCAGCAATTGGCTCTACTCTGTTATCTGTATTGAATGCACAGTTATGATCGATTTGATGTTGTTTGGTTTAGGGGTTCAACTGGGAATCAAACAAGCAGCAAGGTGGTTGGTACAACTCGCTCATCAATTTGATCCCGGATTTGGCTAATGCTGGGATAACTCATGTTTGGTTGCCACCACCCTCCCACTCTGTTGCTCCCCAAGGTGCTGTCGTTTTCTTGTTTCATTTTTTTAAAAAGAAAATTGAATTTTTGGTCATTCAGTTATATTCATGAGTGACCATTTTAACTCTTAAGTTATGTATAGAGTAACGATTTTAGTCTTTGAAAGATCAAATCAGTTACTTTATGTATGAGAATTAAGCTAACAATCTCGTAATTTTTTACTACATTTGACAAGTGTTGAACAAAATAGCTAGAGATAAGATAGAGAGAATAACATTTTTTTTCAAGTCTACATAAAAATGAGTAAAAGTAAAAAATTACCATAGATGGCACTCCGGGGTGAGTGAGGATGTAAGCATAACCCTGAATAACTTTATCCTTGGGAAAAGACCAGAGGCTTTGTGTTGAACTGGTGTCATAGTTATCTATAAAAGTGACGGCATTTTTCGGTGATATTCCGATCAATCTCGGAGGCTTTCCGTTGGAATCCTTCAATCTCCAGAGCTCACCTAGCACAGCAGCCTGAAGAATTCCTTTGGTCGTGAAATCAAACGCTGTAACAGCGCCGCCACCATTCTGAACCCACTGGGATAACTCATTCCTTTGATTATCCTGGTTGTAATCCGATTTTCCGTCCGAACCATAAGACATAGAGTTCCAAAACTCGTCGACAGCGAATTCCGGCATAGTATTTTCCTTGTAAACCTTGGTAATGCTAGCGGCATATCCCCTGTCTGTCTGTTTTGGAACTATATGTCTTATGGTTCGGACGGAAAACCGAATTACAACCAGGATGATCACAGGAATGAGTTATCCTAGTGGGTGCAGAATGGTGGTGGCGCTGTTACAGCGTTTGATTTCACGACCAAAGGAATCCTTCAGGCTGCTGTGCTAGGTGAGCACTGGAGATTGAAGGATTCCAACATAAAGCCTCCGAGATTGATCAGAATATCACAGAAAAATGCCGTCACTTTTATAGATAACCATGACACCGGTTCAACACAAAGCCTCTTGGCCTTTTCCCAGGGATAAAGTTATTCAGGGTTATGCTTACATCCTCACTCACCCCGGAGTGCCATCTGTGGTAATTTTTTACTTTTACTCATTTTTATGTAGACTTGAAAAAAAATGTTATTCTCTCTATAACAAGTCTAGTAAAAGATTACAAGATTGTTAGCTTAATTCTCGTTCTTTGTTTGGCAGTTTTATGATCATTTCTTTGATTGGGGATTGAAGGATGAGATTTCAAAATTGACCTCAATCAGAAATAGAAATGGGATCAGTGAAACAAGCAATGTGGAGATTTTAGCTACAGATGCAGATGCTTATGTTGCAAAGATTGATGACAAAGTTATAATGAAGATTGGACCAAAGCCCGATGTAGGAAATCTCATTCCACCCAATTTCAATTTGGTAACATCTGGACAGGATTATGCCGTTGGGAGAAAAAGATATAAATTTAACTTTATGAATCACATTCAACTCAAATAATTATGTATCCTGCAGCCTTTTAATTAATGTCCATAGTACTAAAATATGAAATGTGGATGCATTTTGTTATTTTATACACTGGACTTGATGTATCTGTCAACATATCATCTATCCCATTTGAAGCAGATCTATTGAAATAGAACATGCGAAATAGGTGGTGCAAATAGCAAAATAGGTAGTGTGAATAGAATTTCCCATATTATATTAGGCATCTAGAGATTTATAGGGACTGGAGTAGATAGTCAAGCTGAAATTACCCTGCAAAGGGGACATTTTCAAGCTGATGGGAAATGCCACATTAGTATTTTATTTTATTTATTTTTATTAAAGGGGTTTGCAAATTGCCGCGGCCGCTGTTGTATTTTTTATTATTCTTTTATTTTATTTTCTTTACTTTTTAATATTTTAATATAATTATAATGTTATTTTAATATATTGGGTCTACATTTGAAAATTGATTAGATATGTAGAGATGTACTATGAATAGTGGATGATTTGCAAATGGGATGATGTGAAAGTGGAACCCATTTTTAATAGTCGGAGAGATTTTCAAGAATAATGTTAGCCTCATATGGAAACTTATTTCATTATTTGATATCTTTTAACATGTATTTATAAGATTGTGTATTCCCTTTCCTAATGTATTCAGAAATCCTGTTTCGTACAATATTAATATTTTATCTACATAAAATCCTCTAAGATTTGAGTCAACTGTATTTAGAAATATTTTTTTACCAACGGATTTTCATGTTTAATTTTGAAATCCTTCTCTTTACCATAATTAAATTCTTTCCACGAGCTCCAAAACTCATGCTTAAATGATTTTAAGACCATTTCACCTAAACTAGTCTTTTGCTAGTACTGCCACATCCTTTGTATGTATATAAAAATAGATGTTCTAAAATTAAGATTGAAAAAATTTCCAAATCTAAAAATACAACAAATATAGTAAGGGAAATTACTATTTTGATTTCCAATTGTCAATGTAGTATTTACTTTACAATTTGAACTAATTTGATCCTCGATTTTTTTTTATTTTTTTTGAGTACCACTGGCCCTATTACAAAGAGTCAAAACCGCATCCACTGAGGCTCCATGTGAGAGAATCACTACATGTCATCTAAGCACAAGGTGCTTGGCATTCTCGGATTGTTTAGAATTTCGTCAATTAAACCATTTTGAATTATCAAAATGGTGATTTTCCCTGCTTTAAAATTTCGTCAATTTGATCCTCCAAGAGTTTAATTCACGAAATTTTAAACAATTTGATCCTCAAATTAGTTGAAATTGAAAATTAAAGACTACATTAATAGTAGTAAAATAATTGAGGGACCAAAATAGTGATCTCCCAATATATGTTTAGCAGTTTAGGCATTTAAAATTTAGCACTTCCTAGCAGGAACCCAATATAGTATATGTTTAGCAGTTTAGGCAATTAAATTTAATTGTTCATTATTATTGGAAAAAAATCAAGAAATGCAGCCGCTAAAGTCTAAACCCAAAAAGGCTCATCTCCAGAAGGGTGTGAACTGAAACTTTTCTGATGCAGCACTAGTCTGAGTGTCTATCCAAACTGGATACTTCCCGGCTATATAACACCCCTAATCTCACTGCTTCTCCTCATCTGGGTTCGAACCAAAAATCCACAAAAATGAATCTTTTTCAATTTCTTTCTTGCTTCTGTCTTGCCTGCATTTTTGTTCCTGCAATTGGCTCTACTCTGTTATTCCAGGTATCATCCCAGCATATGCATATATTATCTGTATTGTATGCACGGTTTTGATTGATTTGATGTTGTTTGGTTTAGGGGTTCAACTGGGAATCAAACAATCAGCAAGGTGGATGGTACAACTTGCTCATCAATTTGATCCCGGATTTGGCCAATGCTGGGATAACTCATGTTTGGCTACCACCACCCTCCAACTCTGTTGCTCCCCAAGGTGCTGTCTTTTTCTTCTTTCATTTTCTTTTGAAAAAATTACAATTTATGTCTCTCACATATTATCAATGTTATCTTTGAATTATTTGTAGTTTAAATGTTACCCCTCAATGTGACATATATTGCCGTCTCCTGAATTATTAGTGGTTTAAACTTTAAATGTGGTTACTTGTCACTTTCTTTATTAGAAAATCATATTTTTTTTCTCCATTTTAAGTAACCAAGGAAATTTGTAGCAAGCATAGAGAGTGTGCACAAAATAAATCATATCTTGTAATCTAACCTGCAAGGTCAACCAGTTTATGTTGTTTATAATTGACCCGTCCAAACTAATTAAGTCAATAAAATAGCTCCCACAATCCCACTATGAATTGAACTTAAAAACTTTACCTAGTCAACCTTTTTCTTGTTTCTTGAGCCATATGTATTATGGCCAGATTTTAACAATTTTCGTGGTCAGGGTATATGCCTGGAAGGCTGTATGACTTGGATACATCCAAGTATGGAAACAAGCAACAATTGCAGGCACTGGTGGCGGCGCTTCACGACAAAGGGATAAAGGCGGTGGCCGACATAGTGATAAACCACAGATGTGCTGACTACAAAGACAGTAGGGGGATTTACTGCATCTTTGAAGGTGGCACGTCGGATGATCGCCTCGACTGGGGTCCGGGCCTCATCTGCAAAGATGACACGCAATATTCCGATGGCACTGGCAATGCCGACACCGGTATGGACTTCGGCGCCGCCCCCGATATTGATCATCTTAACCCCAGGGTACAGAAGGAGTTATCGGAGTGGATGAATTGGCTCAAGTCTGAGATTGGGTTTGACGGCTGGAGATTCGATTTTGTCAGGGGATATGCAGCTAGCATTACCAAGATTTACATGGAGAATACTTCGCCGCAATTTGCCGTCGGCGAGTTTTGGAACTCTATGGCTTATGGTTCGGATGGAAAACCGGATTACAACCAGGATAATCACAGGAATGAGTTATCCCAGTGGGTTCAGAATGGTGGCGGCGCTGTTACAGCGTTTGATTTCACGACCAAAGGAATCCTTCAAGCTGCTGTGCTGGGTGAGCTCGGGAGATTGAAGGATTCCAACGGAAAGCCTCCGGGATTGATCGGAATATCACCGAAAAATGCCGTCACTTTTATAGATAACCATGACACCGGTTCAACACAAAACCTCTGGCCTTTTCCCAAGGATAAAGTTATTCAGGGTTATGCTTACATCCTCACTCACCCCGGCGTGCCATCTGTGGTAATTTTTTACTTTTACTCATTTTTATGTAGACTTGAAAAAAATGTTATTCTCTCTATAACAAGTCTAGTAAAAGATTACAAGATTGTTAACTTAATTCTCATTCTTTGTTTGGCAGTTTTACGATCATTTCTTTGATTGGGGATTGAAGGATGAGATTTCAAATTTGACCTCAATCAGAAATAGAAATGGGATCAGTGAAACAAGCAACGTGGAGATTTTAGCTGCAGATGCAGATGCTTATGTTGCAAAGATTGATGACAAAGTTCTAATGAAGATTGGGCCAAAGCCAGATGTAGCAAATCTCATTCCACCCAATTTCAGTTTGGTAACATCTGGACAGGATTATGCCGTGTGGGAGAAAAAGATATAAATTTAACTTCATGAATCATATTCAACTCAAATAATTATGTATCCTGCAGCCTTTTAATTAATGTCCATACTCCATAGTACTAAAATATGAAATGTGGATGCATTTTGTTATTTCATACACTGGACTTGATGTATCTGTCAACATATAATCTATCACATTTGTAGCAGATCTATTGGAATAGAGCATGCATAACACAAACATGATTTTTGTATTAAAAATTGATGAGTTGGATTCTTAAACTTTGTAATATGTGAGGATTGAGGAACAACTAACTCTGAAATTGATTAACTTGATGGTTTTGGATTTCGATCATCTGGGGTAAAACTCAGTACATGACACCTCGTTTCTTGAAGCCTCTGTATTGTCAAGAGTTCCAGCAGTTGTGATATTGTGCACAAAAAATGCAGGCCCGGAAGGCACCGCAAGGCTGAGAGATGATGAGCTACTTAGCATGACAACAATTTCTCCCATTCTTGGTCTATCTTCAACATTGTCTTGAACACACAACAAACCAACGTGTATGCATTTCATTATTTCATGCACTGGACTTGATACTCCCCTCAACATCTCATCTATCACACTTGAAGCCGTCCAATTTTGCCAATGTATCCAAACCTGTAAATTATAATCCAGTTAACTTTCATTGTGCAGTGGAATAACTTTGCTGGTGATCCATTATGCAGTACAAATATTCATGCTAGCTAGCTTACATAGCTTAAAAGGTCTTGTGCAGAATCTTCATACTGGAAAGATGTATTCCTCCTTCCACTTACAATTTCCAAGACTAATACTCCGAAGCTGAATACATCTGATTTCGTTGAAAAATGGCCGTGCATTGCATACTCTGGTGCCATATATCCACTGCAAGATAGATTCATGGTGGATTCAGAGTAGATTAATCACGTTACTATACAAATATATTATATATAGTGTATCATTTTCCAAATGAAAATGAGGTTTTGTACTTACTAAGTACCCACGACTCTACTTGTAGAGCCTTGAGTTTCGTCCAAGGCAAACAACCTTGCCATACCAAAGTCAGCAATTTTGGGATTCATATTTCCATCCAGAAGAATATTACTGGCTTTGAGGTCACGATGAATAATGCGAAGACGAGAGTCTTCGTGCATATAAACAAGTCCCTTAGCAATGCCTATTATGATTTTGTAGCGCCTCTCCCAATTCAAACATCCACGCTTTACAGGATCTGCATGTAAATTACAAAGTTTAATTGAAATATTCCATTACTGGCCTCTGCAGATAGGTTGTGAAGAAATATTTACCAAATAATAACTGATCAAGGCTTCCATTAGGAACAAATTCATAGACTAGAATCCGTTCTCTTCCTTCCAGGCAAAAACCATGCAACCTCACCAAGTTCCTGTGATGAAGTCTAGCCACTAAAACAACCTCATTTTTAAACTCTAGATCACCTTGCTGAGAATTTCCAGACAGTCTCTTCACAGCAATTTCTATCCCATCCGCTAGTTGACCCTAAGTTATTCAGGCAGAATTTAAGTAAAACAGGAGCATTGAGAGCAAAAAAGAGTTAACATCTGAGAACAAAATAGTATCAAGGCTAATGGTGAAGCTACATACCTTGTACACAACACCAAAACCACCTTGTCCAAGTTTGTTGGCTTCAGAGAAGTTATTTGTTGCAGCTCTTATGGTATCAAGGTCATACTGAAGGGACTCCACACTTTTAATTTCACAGAGAGAACTTGTTTCTTCCATAGCTTTATTTGACATGAAAATTAAATTTTTTTTAAAAAAAACATTAATTGTCCTTGTTTCTTCCACACTACACCAAATATTAACTCCTTCAAGCTAGATTATGTAACAGAACAGAAAGATCAAAGATGCAGTATATTATCATCTTACTCTTCATCTCCTTCTTGGCCTTCTGTTTCTGCCTTTTTGTTAATACTACAAAATTGCAAATAGCAAGCAGCATAAGCACCACAGCAATAGGAACTAAAATAATGACAACAGTTGGAATTGTTTTATCATCCTTCCCTGCAGAAATAAACTCAATGCATTACTATCAGCTGTCTTTACAAAAAAAAGTTGAAAACTTTGTCAGCATAAATTCCCCGAATCACCTGATTGTGGTAGCAGAGGAGGTTTGATCAACGTATAATTGAAGAAACGGTAATTCTCATAGCGAAAGTTGCAGCTACGGGTTAACACTATGGCCCCTACCCTGTCAATACACTGAGCAGCAGACAGGGCTCCAAAAGCAGCCGTCAGGCAATCGCTACAGCCTTGAGCAGACAAATCAGGTGTGCACTGCACAAGTGCATATATGGTGTTGAAATCCGGTGCACTCGTATTTCCAGCTGCAAACTTGAGAAACGGACCGCCCTGAGTGGCTTGGATTAGCAGGCGGTCCAACATGCTCCTCAAATCTTGGTTGAAATTGGCCGGCTGTGTGGCGTTTTGATTGTTACAGGGCAAGGAAAGAGTGTCACTTGACATGGAACCAATGATGGTTTCATTGGAGTAATATATCAAACACTTAACGTACCATCCATATGCCACCTTGCGATCAGGACACTGCTGCACAATCTTGCGAGCAGCATCTTTAACACAACCACGACATAGATTCAGCTCCACATCGCCTCTACACAGCACGACAGCACTAACCCTGTCGGAACCTTGGCCGATGGAAGCATTATAGAATCCATATTCGTCGACATTCTCGGAAAGAGACGACAGAGTTGTGTTCAGGTTCTTCTGGTATGTGCTGTTTTGAGTGTAGTTCCCACCTGATCCGCATACGTGTTGGATGATCGAATCGTCCTGGACTGCTGCTCGGGCATAGAAGTGTAAATTCAAGAATAGAAACGCAACCCGTTTCTGGAAATTCATATATGGATTTGGAGAATGGATTCAGAAAAATGGAAGGTTTGCAGAAAGAAGTTGCTACATGCAACATAAATATGCTCCAAATAGTATTCATACTCAAATTTCAAACGATTTAGCGTGCTAAACGAGTCAATCAAACCGTAATTGTGATTTTAAATCACTGTATGATTGACTTTGTTCTATTAGCAGCATATGCAATTCAACATTCAATTCAATAATTTATTTATGTATACACTTTTTCATGGCTTCATTCTTGAAGTCGTGGATGGGTAGAAATGTGTGTTACCCCATGGTCGGTGCCTCTTGTGAATATAAAAGTGCAATTGTAGGTGAAATCTACATATACATTCCTGCATTAAAATGGTAAATGTATATTCAGAAATTACTGCCCAAATTGATGGCTAAGTAGATGTAACATGATAGATACGAGTTCAATTCTGACTAACACATTCTTGGTCAAGTTTATGACATGAGATCTTTTTAGTACAATTTACATTTCATGTGTGGTTTGTAAACTATTACACGGAAGCAGAGTTTAACCAAGTTGGTTGTGAACAGGTTTATGTTTGGTGTTATATCATAAGTGTGATATAGTTAACAATGGAACGTAAGTCCAAATATAAACCCTAACAGGGCGTTTGGTTGGAGGGATTTTAAATTCCCTTCACACTTAATTCCCATCTAATTCCAAAGGCCATTAAATTTCGTAGTTTGGTTGGAGGGAATTGCAATTCCATGTAATTGCAATTCCCCCATTTTCATGGAATTAAAATCTCATGTCCCCCCTGGTATTTTAATTCCTGGGAAAAAAAGATAGTGGTGAGTCAAAATTACCACTTCCTTTTTTAACCTAAAATTAATGTCTAACAACAATAATGGACATTTTTGACTTTATACTACTTATTCTCTTTCAATTCCCATGTATACCAAACATTGGAATTGAAATTCCTAGTAATTTTATTCCTATCAACCAAACACTGGAATTTAAATTTCCACTTTATTCTCAGTAATTCAACTCCCATGGAATTACAATTCTTTTCCCACATAATTTCCCCACTCCAACCAAACGCCCTGTAATGGTTTCACACTAATGATGAATTGCTCTCTGTATGTCATCATTGTCACGTTAGACCAATTTAGCAACAATCAAGAAATGAATCGACCAACAAGATTAAATAATTAATATAGATAATTGCATAAAGGACCATACCTAACTTTTTTAAAAATGCAAAGTAAAATTTTCCTACTTTAATGAAAGTTGAATTCAACTTTTCGATTAGTTAATTAAAAACATTGTACAGATAGATCATTTTTTTTTTTTTACTTTAAAAGGAAATTTGAATTGGAGTACTCAAGGAGTTTTAACCCAAAAGATGTGGTAGTAATGGAGTCCATGTTCCACATAAAAGACAGTTGAATACAATACCAATTACCTCAGCCCCATGTCATTTTTTATAGTTAGGTGATCAGCCCGATTAATTTTTAAGCTCATTGGATCCTGTCCCAATAGTTATGCTGTGCAACCGAATGTACCATGCGCATGGTGCATACGGTTCAAAACGACGTCGTTTTGATTAAAAACGCGCGTCTCACTTTAAAAAAAAAAATCAGGTTCGACTCTCAGCAATAGCATTATTGTGGATATATAGTTATGAAATTGTGGATATATAGTTATGAAATTGTGGATATATAGTTATGAAATTGTGGTTATATAGTTATGAATTTATGGACATTTAGTTCATTCATTGTGGATATTTAGTTCAATCATATATTGTGGCTATTTAGTTCATTCATTGTGGATTTTTACTTCATTCATTCATTCATTGTGGATTTTTACTTCATTCATTCATTCATTGTGGATTTTTACTTCATTCATTCATTCATTGTGGATTTTTACTTCATTCATTCACTGTGGATATATAGTTATGAAATTGTGGATATATAGTTATGAAATTGTGGTTATATAGTTATGAATTTCTGGATATATAAAAATGCTATTGCCGGGAATCGAACATGATTTCTTCTTTAAGTGGGACGCGTGTTTTTTTAACCAAAACGGCGCCGTTTTGCAACCGTATGCACCTTGCAAGGTGCATTCGGTTGCACAGCATAATTTGCTATCCTGTCCTTAGGTGATCACTGTCATTTTTTTTTATACTTAGGTGATCAACCAGACTAATCTTTAAGTCCATAGGACCCTGTCCCTAAGTGATCACTGTCATTTTTTTATACTTAGGTGATAAGCCGAACTAATCTGTAAGCCCATAAAACCCTATCCTTAGGTGATCATTATCATTTTTAACAAACTTTTGCCCTCCCCCTTGTAATCCATCCATCCTAGATTACGGTGAAAGCCATATTTATGTTTCATTTTACAACAAAATGTTACCCTACTCCAGAGCTAGTTTTGTACAAATGAATGCTGTCATCAATGAATTCCAGTGCTAACAAAACCCCTTTAAAATGATTAAGATCAGGGAGGATATAATAACCAGACAGAGCAGAAAAAGTAGAAACCAGATAAGGAAATTCATGGTTTCATCTGGGATAAAAGTCAGAAAATGATGGCTCATCTTGCGATTCCGACATTCTTGAGCTGTGTTCTTGAAGCAGCGAAACCTCGGGACTGATATCACTATGCATGAAAAATGCTGGGCTCGAGGGTACTGGAAGACTCATAGAAGAGCTACTTAGCATGACAGCAACTGCGGCCATTGTAGGTCTATCTGCAACATTTTCTTGAACACAAAGCAAGCCGATGTGTATGCATCTCATCATTTCATGCACTGGACCTGATTTAGCTGTCAGCATGGGATCTATCAGATTTGAAGCTGTCCCTTCGCGCCGTTGAGTCCAAGCCTGTGGGAATTTGATATATCATTGCCCAAATTCTTGCAGGTTTAATAGATAATTATAAATGTTGTTTATACTTACATAGCTCAGAAGGTCTTGTACAGATTCCCCATTTCGAAAACATATGTTCTTCTGTCCACTTAAAATTTCCAGGACCAGAACTCCGAAGCTAAAAACATCTGATTTAACTGAGAATTGGCCGTGCATTGCATACTCTGGTGCCATATATCCACTGCAAAAGTGCAAAGTTGAGTTGAAACAAGAATTATTGATCAAGTTCAGCTTTCTTAAACCTTCATTTCAGTTCTTGATCAAAATGAGGGTGATCTGAGTATATGACAGATTGACAGTACTTACTAAGTACCCACAATTCTGCTTGTATTGCCTTCAGTTTCATCTAATGCAAACAACCTTGCCATGCCAAAGTCAGATATTTTCGGGTTCATAGCTGCATCTAGTAAAACATTGCTAGCTTTGAGATCACGATGAATTATACGAAGGCGAGAATCTTCATGGAGATATAGAAGTCCCCTGGAAATTCCTACTATGATTTTATAGCGAGTTTCCCAATTCAAATACGCTCTTTTGACTGGATCTGTAAGTGGATTACAACATGAAAATTGAATGACAGGAGGATTTTTACAAAAGGAATGATAGATATGAAAGAAGAATATATACCAAATAAGAAGTTGTCAAGGCTAGCATTGGGAACAAATTCATAAACCAGAAGCCTTTCTCTCCTTTCCAGGCAGAAACCAAGCAACCTGACCAAATTTCTATGTTGAAGCTTGGCAACCAAAATCACTTCATTTTTTAATTCTAAATCACCTTGCACCGAATCTCTAGAAAGTCGCTTCACTGCAACTTCTTGTCCATTTGGAAGTTTACCCTGAATAATAGTTTAACAATTCATGAAGAAACACATATATTCACTCATTGAATCAAGTGGATGACAGTATAAAGGTTAGTGATGGTAATTGATAAATTTACCTGGTAAACAACACCAAAACCACCTTGTCCAAGTTTGTTAGAATCCGAGAAGTTATTTGTAGCCGTTCTTATTGTAGCAAAGTCATATTGAAGGGACTCCACAGTACTAATTTCATCCATGTCACTAACTTCATCCACAACTTCATAGAACCAATACCAAAAACATCATAAGACAACATTTTCGTAAGAATTCAGATCATTAACTATTCATCAAATGGCATGGATTGGAACTTACCCTCTATATCATTCTCTGACCTCCTTTTCTGCCTTTTTCTTAAGACAATGCAGACGCAGATGGTAAACATGACAACTGCTATTACTGGAATTACAACGATGATGACAGTCCGAATTGTATTGTCATCTTTTCCTCCTACAAAACAAAGATGTGTTAGAACATATAATAATTATAAGCATAAATATGCAGTTTAGCTTAGTTTTTCAGTTGACACGAGCACGGAGCACATCTTCAATTTGGTATAAAAACCAACCTCATACAAGAGAACTGTGATTCAAGTGTTGTTTAGAGCCCATCAAAAAGTAATCGACCCACCGACACACATGAAGGGACGTGTTAAAGCATATGTAAACATGGAAAGTCACTTCACCTGGTTGTGGCAGCGGAGGAGCTGGAATGAAAGTATAATTGAAGAAACGGTAACTTTCATATCGAAAATTGCAGCTAGGAAAGACTATTCTTCCCCCTCTCTTGCCTTTACATGGACAATTCGGCATATCCCCGAAAGCAGAAGTTAAGCAATCTGTGCAGTGTTGAGCAGTTAAATCAGGAGTACACTGCACAAGTGCATATATGGTCTGGAAATCCGGTCCGGTCGTGTTATCTGCTGCAAACTTAAGGAAGGAGCCGCCATTATTTGCAGCTTGGTTTCGCAGACCATCCAACAACCTTCTTAAATCTTGGTTAAACTGGTCGGGGCTGGTGGTATTCGCCCCATTCCACATGTACACCTGGTGATTCCTTGAAATGGAACCTATGATAGATTCATTCGAGTATCGTATCATGCACTCCTCGTAAAACCCGAATGCATCCTTCTGATTAGGACACGAGCGTACCAACTTCCTAGCCGCATCATTAACGCAACTACGACATATCTCCAGCTCAACATCACCTCTGCACAGCGCTACAACACTCGCCCTGTCGGGGTTTTGGCCCACGGATCCATTGTAGAATCCATATTCATGATTAGACGACGACAGGGACGAAAGAAGCGTGTTAAGGTTGTTCTGGAAGGTGCTGTTTTGTGTGTAATTTCTAGTTTGGTCGCAGGAGAAGTATGTGAGATCGGGCTGTGCGATCCCTGACAGGGTGATACAAGAAAGGTATAGGAAAACCAAGCATCTCTGCAAATCCATGCCACCTAGCTTCATGTATATATGTTCATACAAAATATGCAAACTCTTATACATTATGAGCCTAAGTTTGAAAAGAACAGGAATTATTTATATGAACATATAATATAGTTTTTCCTAAGAAGCTGTTGACTAATTAACAACACGCTTTTATGAAATAAGCCAAATTAGTGAGCACGCAACCTAGCTTCTGACTCGTAAAGGTTTGACTTGGCAATATTCAACGTTTTCATGTTCATTTCTTCAACTTTCCTGAGACCCAATTTAAGATAAATTACAGAGCATTTTAGAGAACTCAGTGACTTAGCCTTGTGTTGGTGTGCATAATGTTCACACTGCCAGACTGCCACTAAGAATTTTGAATATTGATTTTTTCTATACAGTCTATTGAACTAGTGAGTTTCAAATTATTGTAAACTGAATTAAGGTCACAAATGCAATATATGTTCAACCTACTGAATCACAAAGAGTCAATACCACATCCACCCAAGGCTTAACCTCACAACCTCCGATATAAATGAGTAATTTGGTGTCACTCAACCACAAGGTCATTGGCAAAATAAAATGTTATTTGTATCCAATTTTATAGTTTTGCACAAATGTTCAATTATATCCATATTCCAATAAAAAAATGTTACGTCTCAAATGTTGTCTCAAATAGAATGGTCTCTGTGATGTTACGTTACTCATTTATCTCGTAAAATTATTTCAAATTTTTTATAATTAAATAATATATTTGGGACAAATTTTGAAATTAATTATTTGAAACACAAACAATATAATCACCACCTCAAAAAAAAAAACAATATAATCACCACTCATTCTGTAACGGATTTAAAATAAAATATTGTTTGCCATCGCCCCTTCAGGTCTCATTGGCTCCTTCAAAACTATCAATTAAAAGGTTTGAAAAGGTCTAAGATAGAATGGGGGCAGATTAGGACAACGTCAAATTTTCTGGACCTTTCAAGCTGCACAAGATTTGCTTGGTCAGATATTAATGAATCATACAGCATAGTATTATTCAGCAAAACTTAAAATTCAAGGAAGTAAATGAATCTTCCATGCGCCACAATTACATCTTTTATTAATGAAATGAAAGAAGTGTTGAATTATCCCACATTGAAAAATTAGACGGAAAGAGAGTTTATAATACTATAATGTTGATGTAACATTTTTTTTTTTTTTATTAATGTTGTATGCAAGATAATGAGACCAATATAATAGTCATTAAGGTAGTAATTAGGTTTGGTAACTAATTACTTGCATATAGGCCATGTTTGGTAAAATAGTTAGTCTATCAGTCAATTTTGACTTATTTAGCCACTATTAATTGTTTGGCTTGTTAAACAATCAATATGAGTGTTTGATTAATTAGCTTTTCGTACTAACTTATTGCTCCAAAATGCGTTTGCTTAATTAGCTTTTTGTGACGAACTTATTGTTCCAAAATGCTAAAATTCAAAAAGTTATTCAAAGTAGTTTTTTGAAAAAGTCATTTTACATGTAATCAGCTATAAGCTAACAACTAATTTACCAAATATTTTTCTACAATCAAATAATGCTATCAACTAATCAAACCTACTAACCAATCCGCAAACCACTATTTACTAAATAGTCCCATAGTATAATTTGTCTATTGAGGTAATTAATATTTAGCAACTAGGTAATTAGATCAATAAGATAATATGGTCATTAAGGATTTGCCTACAATGATGGCACAATACTTAATAACCTAAATATACACAATATAATGACAAATAGAAAATGGACTATGCAGTCAATATAGACAATTAATCGATTATAAATGTATCAAATACAAATTATAAAGGTATGAAATGCCCAATAACCATCACAATTAGACAATTAATCCGTAGTGAAAAATGTTTCAAATTAATTATCGGAAATCAATAATAAAATATCACAAAATAGTATTAGAATTAGGGGCTACACCCTTAGCCTTGAGGCACGAATGTGCTTTAATTGATCAGATTGACTGACATCAATTTGGTTGCCATCTGCTTGTTAAGATATATTTTGTTACGTTATTTGTATTAGGAATAATATTAGTTATATTAGGTAGATTGTTATCTTTGCCTAGTCAATAGCCTATTAGTTAAGTTATCTATTTATTCCTATTGTTGTAACCTTCCTAATTGATTATCAATTAAACTCAAATTACGTTCATTTGGTATCAGAGTAGCGTTAGGATCCTTATTCCTTCCTCAAATTAAGTTTATTATGCTCACCCAATGAAATCTTTTTCTTCTTAAATGCGTCGTAGCCTATAAATTGACACTACTTTGAGTAAAAAATCCAGGATCCAAGAGCTCTGGAGGTTTGAGAGATGAGTTTCGACTTAACATCTGAAGAACTCGAGACATTTTCCTACTTTAAGAAAAGTTGAATTCAACTTTTCAATTAATTTTTGAAAACTAAAACGCATAATATATTAACCCATAGCAACGTTCTTACACAAAAAGAACATAGAGAAAATAAGGAATAAAATCAAAATATTCAAGTCTAGTATCTCCTACATAACAAAAAACATGCTTAGCTAAATAATGAGCCACCATATTGTTCTGTCGATGCATGAACGGAAACTTTTCGATCAGTTAATTAAAAAAAATTGTATAGATAGATTTTTTTTAATTTACTTTTAAGGAAATTTGAATTGGAGTACTCAAAGGAGCTTTAACCCAAAAGATGTGGTAGTAATGGAATCCATGTCCCACCCAAAAAAAAAAAAGACAATTGAATACTACATACCACATCAAAAGAGTCATTATTATATCTCAATTCCCTTTACTACAATTTGATGCTTGAAAGAAAAATTCATTTACCAAATACAAAATATATTTTAAATCAAAATATAATGTTCATGACAATCCATGCATCTATGTTCTCTCATGTTTTGAAATCATTGTAAAATTATTGTTTCATTCAAAATATAACAAAAACTAAAAATATATTTTTTTCCAACATACAATACTAAAAGCGATCATTTATTCATTCAGCATATATGACACTAAATGTTTGAAATCCCATTATTCTTAAACTGTCTCGGAGTCTATGAATTGACACGGCTTTGAGTATAAAAACCAGGGACTGAGGGCTTTGGAAGTTTCATAGATAAGTTACGATTTAGCATATCATGAACTATAGGCATTTTAGGTCTATCATCTGCATTTTCTTGAACACACAGCAAGGCCACATGGATGCATCTTTCTATCTCCTGCTTTGGACTTGATGGACGTTTCAATAATGGATCTATCACATTTGAAGTAGACCCTTTTTCCCATTCTATCCAAACCTGTAACACCATCCACAAGCTATTTATGTCAATTAAATTTGTTACTTATATGCATGTCATTAATACTGATGTCATACTTACGTCGGATAAAAGGTCCTTTTTAGAATTTCCACTTTGAATGGTATTTCTCTGTCCACTTATAATTTCCAAAACTAACACTCCAAAACTATATACATCAGATTTATCAGAATATATACCAAAGCGTGCATATTCTGGTGCTATATATCCACTGAAATGTGAATTGGATAAATATGTTAGTCCAATAAGTTGACTAATCAAATTGCGCATCATTTCTCAACTGTATATAGAATTAGTTTAGTAAGGAGTACTTACTGGGATCCCACCAATGTATTTGTAGAGCCTTGGGTTTGGTTTAAAGCAAACAACCTAGCCATTCCAAAATCTGTAATTTTTGGATTTAAATTTGCGTCTAAGAGAATGTTACTAGCTTTGAGATCGCGATGAATAATACGATTAGGAGAGGATTCTTTGTGTAGATAAATAAGCCCACTAGCAATACTTTCTATGATTATGTAGCGTCTCTCCCAATCCAAGTATCCACATTTGTCACGATCTGCATGTCGATATTTAATTGAGAAAATATGATTTTAAAAATTCCTAAACCAAAGTGAAAGACTAGTTTAAGAAATATTACCAAATAAAAAGCCATCAAGGCCACCATTGGAAACAAATTCATAGACAAGAATCATTTCTCTTCCTTCTTGGCAGTAACCATGCAACTTCACCAAATTATTGTGTTGAAGCTTAGCTATGAAATCCACTTCATTTTTAAATTCTAAATTACCTTGTCTTGAATGTTCAGACAACCTCTTCACAGCAACTAACTGATCATTTTCAAGTGTACCCTACATATTCACGAAATAATATAAATAATATTGAATATAGAAATTTAAAACTTTATTAAATTGTACATAACTATATATTACTAATGTACATAATATAATTAATTCTTGATTTACCTTATATACGGTACCAAAACCTCCTTCTCCTATCTTTTTTGTTTTAGAGAAGTTATCCGTTGCATTTTGTAGGGTAATCAAATTAAATTTCACAAGAGATTCCACGGCACAAATTTCAACACTTGAGCTAGGTTCTTCCGCAACTTCACATGCATAGAAACCAAGAATGATGTTTTTGAGATTCTACTCATTAATTGGATTATAATGAATCGCTGTTCATATAGTTAATTTGAGTCTTAAAGACATTAAAGGCAAATAGGTTGCTGTATAAAGGAGTTTTTTGCACTTTTAGTCCCACGACTATAGTGGCACTGGCAGAATTGATCCACGACTTTTGAACCTTGCAATTTTAGTCCACGACTATTGATTTTTTTGCAAAAATGGTCCTTCCAGCCACTTTTCCGTCAAAATTTAACCGGAAAAAAAAAATTCTCCATTTTTAGCCGGGTTAAAATTGACATTTTACTTATCTCAAAAAATTAAAAGAAAAAAATTGATATTTGACTACATACAATATTACTGGGCTACATACTACTGCCCCAGGCGGCGGAGTTCCTAGAGCAGGCAGGGCTGTCAGTAAGCAGCGGAGAGGCCGTGGCGTTCCCCGGGCTAGTTGGGTTATCCGGCAGCAGGATTGGAGTGGTACATGTACTCCGCTGCCTAGGGCAGTAATATGTAGCCCAGTAATATTGTATGTAGTCAAATATCAATTTTTTTCTTTTAATTTTTTGAGATAAGTAAAATGTCAATTTTAACCCGGTTAAAAATAGAGAATTTTTTTTTTTTTCCGGTGAAATTTTGACGGAAAAGTGGCCGGAAGGACCATTTTTACAAAAAAAATCAATAATCGTGGACTAAAATTGCAAAGTTTAAAAGTCGTGGATCAATTCTACCAGTGCCACTATAGTCGTGGGACTAAAAGTGCAAAAAACTCCTGTATAAAGTCTTATTGGAACTTACTCTGATCTATGCATAGCTTTTGGCTTTCCTTTTCTGCATTAGAAAAAGGAAAATGCAAATAGTAATCATGATAAGATTACAACAACAATAATGACCATTCAATTCGATGTGATAGAATATTAGAATATATAACGAAAGAATCAGTTAGGACAGAGAAACTACTCCTGGGCCCTGGCCTTATCAATGATCATAAAAAGTTTTATTTTAAAAAAAATATTTTTCATAACAAAATATTTTTCATATTAATTAATTAATTTAAATACTTATTACAATACATTATAAATCTCACAAATTATAAATTCTTTCCTCTGCATACCCTCACCTTGTCAAAATTTGTTACGATTTTAGAAATTATTTAATTTGTAGCATTTCTTATAGTAGCAAATTCATATTGAATTGAGTTCACAGAAGAAATAAGAAAGAGTCAAATGGACTGAAACTTACCTTCCATGCCACCATTCTCTTGCCTCCTTTTTCGCCTCTTTCTTAAGACGATGCAAACGATGATGGTAACCATGACAACTACAACTATAACTGGAACAACAACAAACAAGGCAGTTGGTGTTGTATGCTGGTCATCCTCCTTTGAGTCCTTTCCTCCTATAAAATAAAGATCTGGATTTCTAAGTACTTATATGAGCATGTAAAACATCATATCCCCGGACCCTTAACTTGAGCCTTGAGGTAATAAAATAAAAAACAACCAATGGGCTAACTCAGTTGCTTCAACTGACCACTCTAAAGTCTTGATCCAACTGCAGTATGTACACTAATCTCACTGGTCATTGTAAGACCTACCTTGACCAATCAGAGATGATGAAGAGCCCCGGCCTTGCTTGTATAACAAGAGTGAAAGTTAACATGAACACTAAGCGGTCCTAAGTTAAACATACCTGATTGTGACTGTGGTGGTGGTGATGTTGTTGGTGGTGATAGTGGCAGTGGTGGTGTAGCTGGAACTTGAATCAAGGTATCACTGAAGAAACGTTCACTGCCATATCGAAAATTGCAGCTAGGCCAGATTATGCCGGCCCCTCTCTTCCCATAACACTTGTCACATTTACTGTTACTGATCTCTCCAAAAGAAGCATTCAAGCAAGCTGAACAATCTTGAGCACTTAAATCAGGGGTGCACTGCACAAGTGCATATATGGGCTGGAAGTCCGGTCCAGTCGTCTTCCCCGCTGCAAACTTAAGAAAGGAGCTGCCTTTTGCAGCTTGGCTTCCAAGATCAGCCAGCAACTTTCTTAAATCTTCATTAAACTGGTCGATACTCGTGGCGTTCTCCGAATTCCACCGGTACACATAAGGATCCTTTGAAATGGAACCTATGATGAATCTATGGGAGTATAGTATGACGCACTCATCGTACCCTCCGAACGCCTCCTTCTGATTAGGACATAATTGTGCCAACTTCTTAGCAGCATCAGTAACACAGACACGACATGTGTCCAGCTTAACGTCACCTCTACACAGCGCAACCACGCTCGTCATGTCGGGACTTTGGCCTTCGGATGCGTTGTAGAATCCGTATTCATTAACCTCGGACGAGAGGGAGGAAAGAAGTGTGTTAAGGTTGGTGTGGTAGGTGCTGTTTGGTGTGTAGTTTCCAGTTTTGCTGCATACTGAGAATACAAGATCAGCAGGCTGTGCGGCTGCCGAAAGGGTGATGATGATGCTAGAAAGCAGGTATAGGAAAACCAAGCATCTCTGCAAATCCATGCCACCTAGCTTCACACAAAATATGCCTACTCTTATTCCTATGAGTTTGAGTTTCAACGACAGAGCCCGAATTTTATTTGTATATATAAAATCGAGTGACGGTAAATATGTTACCGGTAATAATAATAATATTAGAATAACGCTGTGTGAAAGAGTGACAATAGTTGTATTGTCTTAATGTCTTAGTATAGAAAGTACAATGTGTCTTTGTCCAGAGTATTGAACGTGTTCCCTCAATCTGAGGGGAGCATCTATTTATACTAAGGTGTCAACGGTAACAACATGGGACATAAATGAAGAGCCAAACCTTTAATTATCTCTCATCAATGGTGGCTTCAATTGCAATAGAGGTGACGCCTGTTAAAATTCTGTCCGTTGGAGTTTTGCCCGTTGGGTCTCCATGTGGTGCCGGGTCAAATATGACGTCGGGTCAGATGTCCACTTATGATCCGGGTCGGGTGCCAGCCCTATTATTCTGTCACCGAGGTTTTCCTAATAGCATCCACCAGTGAACTCACATCTGGATTTTTTAGGTTTTCAGCTAATTATGTTATATTAATTGTAATTAAGCCCCCAGAAGGCCAGAACTTTTTTCAAGACAAATACCAGACATAAAGTAAGGGACGTACAAAACAACAAAAAATGTGAAAACAATCAGGCCAGGGGGGCTGATTTTTTTTCGCTCTCCTATGTCCTATCCTATCTCATCAATGTAGGCCAAATAAAAGTCATAAAAAAGTATTCACAAACAGACTATTGTACTAACAATAATTTTTTTTTGAAAATTGTACTAACAATAATTGAGGCAAATAATTGATGAGAAATGAAATTCAAAATTTTATAGAAAATAAATTATTAAGAAATAATGAGTATAAAGATTAATATGTCTCCACACAAAAATATAATAATATAATGATGTATAATTGTATAAGCATAAAATATCAAAGGATGTGTAAAAATAAATAATAATAAAAAAAGATACTGAAGAAGAGTAAAGAAAATTAGTTATACTTGTGTGACATTGTTTTACGAATCCTTGTTCGTGAGACCAGTCGAATTGAATCAATAAGAAAATATAATATTTATACTTAAAAATATAATACTAATCAATTAGAAATAAAGCGTGTTAGACATTTTAGCTGAAATGAAATTTTAAGTGACTATTTTTGTAGTATAAATACCAATAGACGTGTAAAGACGCGATCGACTATCATGAGCTGAATTAATTTAATTGAACTTTCATATTTAAAAAATAGGCACTTCCTAAAGCTTGTCTGTTTTTTTTTTTTTTTTTTTTTTTTTTTTTTTTTTTTTTTTTTGTGCGTTATAGCTGTTATATTTTATTTAATATATAATGCAAGTGCGAATAGATTTGAATAAAAAATAGGCACAAGTGTCAAATAGACTCATCTACTATTGCGAAGTGCTCAATTCCCACCACAAACTAAATTAAGTATCAAATATGCCAATCTACTAGCTAAATTTGTTCAATTGACATTTTTTACAGGTTGCCTATTTAATTATTAAAAATAAATAAATAAATAGAATAAAAATTAAAATAATTAAAATAATTTAAAAATAAAAAAATAAAAAAAAAAAGAAGAGAATATCAGCCACCGGATATCCGGTGGCTGATATTCTTTTCTTTTTTTTTTTAATTTTTAATTCTATTTATTTATTTATTTTTAATAATTAGATAGGTAACCTGCTACCAACTTGTAAAAAATGTAAATCGAACAAATTTAGCTAATAGATGAGTTTATTTGACACTTAATTTAGTTCGTGGTGGGAATTGAGCACTTCGCAGTAGTAGATGAGTCCATTTGACATTTGTGCCTAAAAAATATTGGATTCCTTACCTACCGTGCTTTTTTAAGTTGTCACGATGCTAGAATTGGTTCCTTTATTGAAATTTGGAGACATTTTTTATTTTCTTTTCTACTATAGTTTAAGAACATCCACACTAGTAGAGGTTCTTTATGATTTTTGAGGAGTTATTGTAAGTGTAATTAGAAAAGAGAATAAAAGGGGAGAGAAAAAAAAAATTAATAAAACAAAACTTATTTTAAAATTAAAAATTAAAAAAGTAACTGCCGCGTGGCTTCAGCTGTGCGTGAAACGCGCACAGCTTTTCAAGCTTTCTCTGACCAGCACTGTTCAATGGTGTGGGGTCCTTGAAGAAGAGTCTCAAATTTCTCTACCTCCATTTCTCTTCCCTCCAACTCATCACAAATTATACTATTCTCCCCAAAAACACCACTAATAATGTTGCTCTTTTAGAAAGCACTTCTTCAATTTGGGACTGATACTTTATTCCTATCATTACTCTCATGTGCAAAACAATATATAACTTTGATTCACTATTTTGTATGTGTAATATCATGCATGCCTCTATAGTCCATGAAGGCCATTGGCAGCTTGCTACCACTAATCAATGAAAGTGGTAGCACAAGAATCTGTGAGATGATGGTTGAGTGAAGATGATGCTGTAGTGGATGAAGGCTTGAGATGAATGCCATGGTTAGATCTTCTCCCCATAGAAATCGGTGGCCGGCTTGGTTTAGACATTGGCATTTGTCCTCCTTTCAAAAGATGAACAACTTCTGACATTCTTGGCCGCTCTGCTGGATCTTCTTGCACACACAGAACCCCAATATGGATGCATCTTGCTATCTCTTCCATCGGAGAAGACGACTCTATCAGCACAGGATCTGCAACTTCCAATTCCTTTTCTTCATTCACCACCTGCCATGCCTGCAGACATGATAATCTCTAGTTCTTTAATTTGTGTAGAGAATTTAAAGCAATTAAGTATAGGTTAATTGCAAGTTTGCAACCAAGTCATACATAGGAAAGTAGTGTCTGATGAGAGCTTCCATTGATGTAAAAGTTGCTGTTTCTTTGTCCACTGATGATTTCCAGCATTATGACACCGAAACTAAACACATCAGATTTAATCGAGAACAGTCCACCCATTGCATACTCGGGAGCCATATACCCACTGTACAAAAAAAATACTCTAATTAATTACCTTAATATTTCAGATCAGATGTAAAGAAATGATGACAACAATAAAGTATAGTAGCCCACTATGTTCCCACGACTCTTCTGGTGTTGGCGAGGTTCTGTTTTTCACAAAAGATTCTAGCGATTCCGAAATCAGATATCTTGGCAACCATGTCACTATCTAGCAGAATATTACTTGGCTTTAGATCCCGATGAATCACTTTAAGCCGGGAATCCTCATGAAGATAAACAAGTGCCCGTGCTATTCCATCAATGATGTTAAACCGTGTTTTCCAATCAAGCAGCAACCTTTTTTCCCTGTCTGCAGAAATTAATTAAGTTCAATTTTTCAGTGAGTCTAGTCTAACTGCATTCTTGATAGTAGAAGAAATTAAGTATGCCAGTGAAGAACAAACCAAATAGGAAAAAATCAAGGCTTTTGTTGGGCATGAACTCATATATCAACAGCTTTTCATTCCCTTCCAGGGCACACCCAAGAAGCCTGACCAAGTTTCTGTGCTGAAGTTTTGCTATCAGCATCACCTCATTCTTCAGTTCCTCCACCCCTTGCCATGATTTTCTGGACAACCTTTTCACTGCTACTTCTTCCCCACTGGGGAGAACACTCTGTAAATTAAGGCTCCAGTTTTCTAACGTTATCGAAACACAAAAGTAGAACCGGAATGACAGGATCCTAATAAGGAGGAGCTAGAGTACCTTGTAAACAGTGCCAAATCCGCCTTGTCCAAGCTTATTAGACTGCGAAAAGATCTCCATGGCTGCCTCGACGACAGGTAGCTCCACGGATGGCATATCCTGGGAGCTTAACACATACTTTCCTACTATACTCAAAGAATTGGATCCAGGTCTGGCTTCAATTCCACTATGGCCTTTTTCCTCTTTATCTGCAATTAATTAAACCAACTCTAATAAAACTATATTCATCTTTGATTTCAGAAACTATAATATTTTTTACCTGTTTTCACCTGCTTCCTCTTTTGACGATATCGTGCAAAGCTCCCAACCAAAACTGCCATCAGAAATGCTAAAACACATACAATTGTGACAGGAACCCAGGTTTTGCTCTTCTTATTCCCTGAAATCAAGTTAATGTAACTATGACCAAACTGAAAGAAGAGATGCAAACAATATGATCAAGTTTCTTACCAGTGGCATTATAATAGAACTGGTATATCTCAAAACGCACAGAACAAGCCCCACCATAAACCGTCCCCCCTTCACGGGAGCCACAACATCCTTCAAGATCTCCCGAGGCGCTACCCAAACAATTACTGCACTCTTCATTAGACAAATCTCTTGTACACTGCACAAGTCCATAAATAGTAATCTGTTCTGAAAACTTTCCACTTTGAGCTGCAAACATGAGCCTGGAATGGTAAGCAGCCTCCTCAGAGAGGTGATCCATCAACTCCTTCAAAGCCTGTGAGAACTGGGCGGGATCTGCAGACACAGTTTTCTTCTCGTTATTCGATTCGAGATACTTCCCATTGTAACGCTTCAAAAGGGTAGAGCCGTACTCGACTTTACAACGCTGATCATATCTTATCATAGCCTCCTTAGTTTGACACTGGCGTTTAAGCTCTTCGCTTGCTTTCTCCAGACAGTTCTGGCAGTCCGTCGAGTTTATGTCTCCCCTGCAGAGCGCTCGGCCCAGGACTCTGTCAGCTCCATCCCCAACTGAAGCGTTGTAGAAGCCTTCATTTCGAGCTGTGTTCGCTAGCAGAGAACCTAGGAGGTTTTTGAGGTTGTTGTCGAAGGGGCTATTGGCTGTGTATTTGCCTCTGTTACTCGAACATGGGGTATCAAGCGGCTCTGCGGCAACGCAAACATGAAGAAATAGCGGCAACACCAAAACAGCAGCAATAGCTCTTTGATTGATCATCATAATTGGTCGGAAGTTCTAAAGATGGCAACTTTTCAGCTTTATCCGATCTGGGGACTTGATCGAAGGAATTGAAATAGTATGAATCTTCCACAGGAATTTGGAAAAACATGGCAAGATGAAAGCAATGTGTATGGACATCTTCTTGGAATTGAATTTTCTGCTGATGGCTCAGAGTGTTGGATACATTCATCTCCAATCGTAGCTATGGGGTCCTTGAAATTGAACAGTGTGAATATGACCATTTGCACTCATGCGGGTTGCCCAGGAATCAATGGTAAAGTCCATAAAATATTGAGATTAATATTAGACGTTATTTACACGTTAAATATGTGAACTGTTTTGATAGCGGTCATGCTAGCTCCATGAATTGAAGCTGTGACAAGAATGCTTATCCACTTTAACAACTTCATTCTGATTTCTATGTCAAAGTTCTTGCAATAAATATCAAAATAATAGGAATAATATACATTGGAAAAGACTTGTCAAAGGCTCTTTGGATGCAACTGGACAAGTGGGCTTATAATTTTGTGAATAATTTATTTACATATATCTGAACAAATCATGAGTCGTTATAACCCATAGTTATATGGTGGACCATAGTGATATGTCATAAATATAAATATTGTCAAATAAACATGTACTATAATTAAAATTATATTTTAATATTACTATAATAAATTAATTGTGTAAAAATTATAATATTCAACCCTATTTACACGTTACATATGTAGGACTGTTTCGATGGCGGTCATGCTCCATGGCTCATGGCTGTGAGAAAAATATTCATCCACTTAACAACTTGCTTGATTCTGATTTATGTGTCAAAGTTCTTGTAACATATATAAAATTTCAAATAAATAAATAAATTTTGAAAAGGGATTTCTCAAAGACTCTTTCTGTACGACGGGACAAGTGGGTTTCAAAGTGTTTATTGAGGGATGTCAATCTTTATGTATTATAACAACTATATTTAAAATTTTAAAGTTTGATTTTAAAAAAAAAATTAAATATTTATATTTTATAATAATTATACCCCATTATCATATAAACTATATTAAAACATTTAAAATTTGATGAATTAATAGCAACTTTAAAAAAATATATATATATTTGTACAAAATTTCAAAGTTCATTGGTTTATTTGAACATTTTTCTAAAGCTAAATTAAAAATCAAATTTTTAAAGTTTGATTTTTTTTAAAAAAAATAATAATTAAATGTTGGGTTATTGCAATTGGATTTAATCGATGACACGAGGCACGTTAGGAGTTAAGAGATGAACACAACTAGTTAAATTCTTGGACTTAGAGTTCCTAACATAAACACAATATTTAAGCATGAACAATATTATTGATTTGTGCATCTTTAAAACAAACTTTTGCTGCCATACAAATATAGAACCTTATACATACAAGATTTTTAGCTGTGATTTAAACAGAGATTTGGTGTCCTATCTGGGTATTACTGCTGAAACAGTGAGACCATTTTCAGGCATTTTCTAGGTCTATCTGCAACATTTTCTTGAACACAAAGCAAGCCGATGTGTATGCATCTCATCATTTCATGTACTGGACCTGATTTAGCTGTCAGCATGGGATCTATCAGATTTGAAGCTGTCCCTTCGCGCCGTTGAGTCCAAGCCTGTGGGAATTTGATATATCATTGCCCAAATTCTTGCAGGTTTAATAGATAATTATAAATGTTGTTTATACTTACATAGCTCAGAAGGTCTTGTACAGATTCCCCATTTCGAAAACATATGTTCTTCTGTCCGCTTAAAATTTCCAGGACCAGAACTCCGAAGCTAAAAACATCTGATTTAACTGAGAATTGGCCGTGCATTGCATACTCTGGTGCCATATATCCACTGCAAAGTTGAGTTGAAACAAAAATTATTGATCAAGTTCAGCTTTCTTAAACTTTCATTTCAGTTCTTGATCAAAATGAGGGTGATCTGATTGTATGATACTACTTACTAAGTGCCCACAATTCTGCTTGTATTGCCTTCAGTTTCATCTAATGCAAACAACCTTGCCATGCCAAAGTCAGATATTTTCGGGTTCATATCTGCATCTAGTAAAATATTGCTAGCTTTGAGATCACGATGAATTATACGAAGGCGAGAATCTTCATGGAGATATAGAAGTTCCCTGAAAATTCCTACTATGATTTTATAGCGAGTTTCCCAATTCAAATTGAATGACAGGGGAGGAGTTTTACAAAAAGAATGATAGATATGAAAGAAGAATATATATCAAACAAGAAGTTGTCAAGGCTAGCATTGGGAACAAATTCATAAATAAGAAGCCTTTCTCTCCTTTCCAGGCAAAACCCAAAACCCAAAACCCAAGCAACCTGACCAAATTTTTGTGCTGAAGCTTGGCAACCAAAATCACCTCATTTTTTAATTCTAAATCACCTTGCACCGAATCTCTACATTGTTACTAAGAGTTTTGAACATTGGTCTCTTTTTCAAATATAGCCTACTAAACTAGTGAGGTTATAAATTATTATAAACTGAATTACCTCTTTGTAGTCATTTGCCATTTAAAGTCACAAAATCATGTTTACTCAAGGATAGTACTTACAAATTTAGTCGTCACTCAAAAAGGTTAAATATAAATTACTTGAAACACATACCACTATTTAGTTAGGTATGTGCCATGTACATTTTAAAAATATAATGTTATTTGTATCAAATTTTATAATTCCGCACAAGTGTTCAATTATATTTATATCCATATTCCAATAAAAAAAATGTTACGTCTCAAATAAAATGGTCTCTGTAGTGTTACGTTACTCATTTATCTTATACCGATAATTATTTCAAACTTTTTATAATTAATTAAATACGGAGTAATATATTTGGGACAAATTTTGAAATTAATTATTTGAAACACAAACAATCACCTCTCATTCTGTAACGGGTTTAAAATAAAACAGGAAAAAAGATAAAATAGGCCCATGAATTTTATTCAAAAGTATAATTAAACTCCTAAACTTTAAAAATGTTTAAATAAACACTCGAACTTGTCATTTTAAGTCAAATAAGTCAAATTACCGGTAATCAACAGATTACCGTTGAATTATTGAAGTTTTGACAATCGCTAATTACTGTTAACCATCGTTACAACCCGGGAAAAAAAAAAAAAGTTCCATCGGAAAAACATTATCCGATCGTCTTCCCCAGGAGAAGATGACCGGACTTTCGTCTTTTCCAGGAGAGGACCGGTCGTCCTCTCCAATGGAGAAGGCGACCAGATCTGACTGCTGGTTGTCTTCTTCGGTAGAGAAGACCCTGAAATTTTTTTAAAATTTGTTTTTCATCGTCTGAATTTTTTATTCGCCGGAATATGACCGGAATTTTAGATGACCAGTTATTCCAGGTGAATAACCGACTATTGGGTTAGACACTTTAAAAGGACAAGTTTGAGTGTTTAATTGAACATTTTTAAAGTTCAGGAGCCTAATTGCACTTTTGAATAAAGTTCAGGGATCTATTTGACCATTTTTCCAATAAAATATTTTTTGCCATCACCCCTTCAAGTCTGGCAAATTATATCGTGCACTAGGGCCCTAGCCCAAAACGTCGTCGTTTTGTACTTTTTTTTTTTTTTTTTTTGTAAATTTTGTTTCCCGTGTCTGCGGTTAACTTCTAAAAAAAAAAAAAAATCATGTTTCGAATGTACATAATTGTATAATAGAATGTACATAAACCACTAACATAATACACATAATCTTTTTTGAAAGGGTAATACACATAATCTAACATAATACATAATACACATGCATAAACTCTTAACTCTGTAAAAAAAAATCTCATGTTTTGAATGTACATAATTGTATAATAGAATTTTGAAAGTTGAAGGACCGGGTGGTTAATTTGGACCACGAATGGTTAAATTTGAAAGTCGAAGGACCACAAATGATCAATTTGAAAGTTTATGACTAAACTAAACATAGTAAAACCATTATACTCGGAGGATTCCATGTGGCATTATCGGAATGAAAAAAGTGTTGAACTATCCCACGTTGAAAAATTAAACAGAAAGAGAGATAATGTTATAATGTTGATGTAACATTTTTCATTAAGATGCAAGATAATGAGACCAATAATAGTCATTAAAGTAGCAATTAGATTTGGTAACTAATTACCTGCCTATAGTATAATTTGACTATTGTGGTAATTAATACTCCGTATTTAGCAATTAGGTAATTAGATGAATAAGATAATATGGCCATTAAGGACTTATTACCTAGAAGGCTAGAATGACGGCACAATACCTAATAACCTAAATATACACAATAATATGACAAATAGAAAATGGACTATGCAGTCATTAGACAATTAATCGATTATAAATGTATCATCAAATACAAATTATAAATAAAGGTATCAAATGCACAATAACCATCACAATTAGACGTACAATTAATCCGTAATGAAAAATGTTACAAATTAATTATTGGAAATCAATAATAAAATATCACAAAATAGAATTAGGGGCTACACCCTTTGAGGCGCGAATGTGCTTTAATTGATCAGATTGCTGGCATCAATTTGGTTGCCATCTGCTTACCCAATGAAATCTTTTTCTTCTTAAAATGCTTCGGAGCCTATGAATTGACAGTACTTTGAGTAAAAAATCCAGGATCAAAGGGTTCTGGAGGTTTATGAGATAAGGTTCGACTTAACATGTGAACAACTTGAGACATTTTTGGTCTATCATTTACACTTTCTTGAACACACAACAAGGCCACATGGATGCATCTTTTTATCTCATGCCTTGGAATTGATGAACCTCGCAATTTCGAATCTATCACATTTAAAGCAGTTTTATTTTTCCATTGTGTCCAAACCTGTAACAACATTCACAAGTTATTTATGTTAATTAAATTTGTTATTTAGATGCATGTCGTGAATACCGAAACCACACTTACATCACATAAAAGGTCTCTTGTAAATTCTCCATTTTGAATAGTATTCCTCTGACCACTTATAATTTCCAGAACTAATACTCCAAAACTATATACATCGGATTTTTCTGAAAATTTGCCATAACGTGCATATTCCGGTGCCATATATCCACTGAAATGTGAAGTGGACAAATATTTCACTCTAGTAAGTTGTCTAATCAAATTACTTTGCAATGTAAATAGATTTAGTTGAGTAAGGAGTACTTACTAAGCTCCCACCAATGTATTTGTAGAGCCATGGGCTTGGTTTAAAGCAAATAACTT